GTAGCGCATATCAGACACTATATATGGGTCATACGGTATACTATATTTTATAGGGAGATAACTGAAGATGTCAACCGCTGGGCCTGGTCGGTGTAATTGGCTATGGGTCTTCTTCTTGGGCCTGTCGATGCACGAAAATCGCAACACAGTGCGCGCAATTCAAATTAATTGCCGACAATTGTTACTTATTTAAGGCGAAGGCGCCATTTAATGCGCCAACTGAGTGGTTAAGCGGCACGATCGCGGTCCCAGAGTAATTTGTGGTGTTATGTAATTGAAATCGATGCCCGATTGCTTTCGAGAATTTGAATTTGACTTTCAAAGCGGCTTTTGACGCCTGAGTGACTGATCCTTACCGCTCTGTATTTTGTATTGTATTAAACATCGATAAAATCTTACACCGGTCTAATAAGGGACAGAAAGATATTTATCTTAAAAGTACTAATTTGTTATGATTTTAATACATTTTACATTTGTATTGACAACTTGTCTATTTTATAAACGATAACATAAGTAGGCAGTGGAAACGGTGGTCTTTTAAGCTTAACAGAATTGCCTATCGATAAAAGCTTATTTAAATTCAAAATCGACACTTTCATATTTATGAATTAACAAGATGATTGCGTTGTGTGATAATATTTAATTAATTAATTATTGTTGCTGCACTTGACACTGTCTTCTGTTGTGGGCGTCGCTTAACGTTTTTGGCGCTGCTGCTGCCTGTGCGGCAACTTAATTGTTTGTAATTAAATAAAATTGTACAAGGTCGATTACAAAAACAGAGTGTCGAGTCTGGTAAATCCATGGTAACCAATTTGTTTTAATATAAAATGCCGGCCGGCAATTTAATTTTGTATCGCATATAGTAAGTGTGCGGCGTCGGGAAATTGATTCCTGCTCATTATTTCATTAAAAGCGTTCTGCCAATTGGCGCGCTCTGTGATTTTCGCTTGCAGTTCCAAGTTCGATTTGATTTTATGAATGGAATTGTATCAATTGATTGTTTTGGTCTTGTTATCGTTGCCTTTCGATCGTCGATAATTAAGTCGGGGGTGTGTTTGCCCATCCCGTCGCTATGGCTAAATAGGTTAGAATTATTGAAGCTGTGGTGCTCTGCATCGTTTCTGGTTTAATGAACAAATCAAATTGTCTAATAGTAATCCAATTTATTTGATTCAAGATGGTGCCAAGCGTTTTAATTGGTCAAACAAGTGCGAATCAATGTGGAGTTGGTTCAAGTCAATCTTTAACAGGTTTATAAGAGCAGCTGACTTAAAAGACACTTTACTCCAAGTTTTAATGCCGTAATTAGCTTTCGGTTACCCGAAAACTGTAAAACCAAATCCTATTTTAAAACTGGCAACCATAATAAAGTAGAAACGAAAAAGTCTTATTGAAAATCTCTTATGTTGTAACTTTCCAATCCTGGAGGTTATTTTATATATTTAAATACTTTTTAAAGTTGAATAAAATTATAGTTTATATACACATTCAAATGTGAAACTTTCTAATAAAAACATAAATACATTTATCAAAGTTTTACAAAGTTTAAAAAACATGTGATATTTTCTGTTTCCTATAGCAATTAACACTAAGTTGCTAGAATGGCTTGCCAAATAATATCCTTATCACAATAATAATCAGATATCTTAATTTAGCCAAATCATTTTGTTTGCAAGAAGGTGTGAATTGCTTAGAATTTGCTTAACTATAAAAGTGTGCAATCTATTATCAAAACAAAAAAGAATCTAAAAAAACTGAAGTTAAAGTCCAAAAATTCCATTGCTTTTACATATTTCTTATGTCCAGTCAAATAAGAATGCCATAATACTAAAAAATATATTCAACTCTCACATAAATTTATATATAGTTGAAAAAGAAATTCCGAAATGCGTACGCATTGGATTCTGAGCCGTAGTCATGGCAGGGATTCCGGAGGGGTTGGTCATGGGCGTCGGGAGGGGGCCGCCATGACATGCGGGCAAGTTTAAATTGATCTTAACGAAGCTTAATTGATTGCGCCTGTGTGGGCATGTCCGTGTGAGCATTGTGTTTGTTTGCGACAGTGTAGCCTACACTTGGCCAAATTTTCTTATTGCAAATACCATACACCAAATAAAAGTCAAACAAACAACTCCATTCCTTTGAACAGTGTAAACTGCTCAACAATTTTCCTCTGATGGTGTTGCAGAATTTCTAAAACGGATCCAAGCCTATGGGTATAGATAGAAAGATGTTTTTGGAATGGAAGGAGACAGTCGTATACCTCGGCGATCGTTTTGGGGCACTCAAGAACCTTAATAGATCTTCCCATAATCTACTCAAGCTTTCTGAAGTATATGTTTTTAAATTGTTTTCAGTTAATTAAAAAAATCATTGCCACATAATAATAATAACAGCAAACACAGAAATCAATCCAAGTTTACAATTTGTTTATTTCAGATATCAACTGGTTTCATTGTTTACCACACACTAAGCGTAGATCTCTATAATCTTTGGACACGCCGACTTAAGACGAAAGATTTGCTAAGGGAAGTAATGCCAATTCACAATGGGCGGTAATGAAGTACACGGTTTTTGGGGGATGGATTAGATTTCTAGGGTCACTTAAGCGTTGGCGAAGTCAATGCCCTTCTGGATGTTCTTCTTCAGCTCGGGAATGGCAGCCTCCAGCAGCTTCTTCTCGTAGTCATTGAGCTTGGGCAGGCCGAGGTTCTCCTGGACGCCGTTCTTGCCCAGCACCAGGGGTGTGGAGAAGAAGGTGGCCTCCGTAACGGTGGACTGCACGTAAGAGCACTCAATAACGTTCTTCTCGCCATTGAGACCCTTCAGCAGGGAGCCAGCGAAACGGGCGCCAGCATAAGCCATCGACAGAGTGGCGGAGCCGGCTCCAGCCTTGGCCTTAACCACCTCGGTACCGGCCTCCTGAATACGCACGGTAAGCTTCTCAATAGTGTCCTGGTTGCCCTTGAACAGAGGCTGGCTCTGGGAGAGCACGGGCAGGATGGTGACACCGGAGTGTCCGCCGATCACGGGGATCTGCACGCTCTGGGGATCCACACCCAAGGCATGGCCGATGAAGGCGCGGGCGCGCACCACATCCAAAGTGGAGACACCGAACAGACGCTTGGGATCGTAGACACCAGCCTGGCAAAAGAAATGGATATGAGAATAGGATCTCTACTAGAGTTTTCTCCAATTTTATATTACCTTCTTCAGAATCTCGGCAGCGATGGGCACACAGGTGTTCACTGGGTTAGTGATGATGGCCACCAGGGCCTTGGGGCAGTTCTTGGCAATGGAGTTGGAGATGTCCTTGATGATGCCAGCGTTCACGTTGAACAGATCATCACGGGTCATGCCGGGCTTGCGGGGTACACCAGCGGGGATGACAACAACATCGGATCCTGCAAAAGGTAGGCACACAGATAAATATTTTTTAATAATTTTGCTCAGAGACACTTTGAGCTTTGATCTTTTATTGGTTCAATCCCCGCAGCTACTGAACTGATAAGTAGCCGCTTCTGATTACGTCGTTATTAATACCAATAACCTTTCTATGGCTTCAAAGTGCCTTCTATCAGCGTACATTTTCTCTACTGTCTTATCTTATCAGAGCATAAAACTTGGTTCATGCAAATCACATGAAAAGGCTCTGTATTAATAAAAAAAGTACTTCATATTTATTTATCTTAATTTAATGTATTTTTTTATTGGACTCTTACTAAATAGTTATTTATGTAAAAGAAAAAAATCCATTCAATATTCGAAAAATTTCGGCAAATTATGTTTGAATTAAATTTTAATATTTAACGTAAATTCTAAATTGGTCTTACTTTTTTTGATATTAATGCACATATAATAACTGACAATCTTTAATTTGTGATTTGTTTAGAAATAATTTGTATAAAATTACTTAAACAGCTATTTAGCATTTTTAAAATATTATTACAAAATCACAAATCTTCATAAGTGTCCACTATAAGTCATATAAGCTACAAATTTTTAGTTTATATCATATCATAAGTGGGATTACCCCCTCGACCCCCCCAACCACTTCTCACTCCAAGTAAATTTTCCACTTGTATCCGCTCATCACATAACCTCACACACGGCCCCTGCCCTCTACTCACCCTTCAGGGAATCGCCCAGCTGGTCGGCACCGATGAATCCGGCGGTCTTGCTCTTGGTGTCGATGTGCGAAAGATCGGCGGCCACACCGGGCGTATGCACAATATCGTAAAGGGCCAAATCAGTGACCAGGGGATTCTGCTTCAGGAGCAGCGACAGAGGCTGGCCAATACCTCCAGCGGCGCCGCAAACGGTCACCTTGTAGTTGTTCTATATATAAAAAATCGAATGCAAAACCCATTGAGTACCTTTGAGAATAAAGGTGTTATGTCAGGTTTTATAATTATTGCTTTAAGAGATGCACTATAACATCCGCCTGTTACGTAAACAGTTGCAATGGAATGGGCGGCCACCAGAATTCTAGCCGGGATTTTTGGTAAATACAATTCTCACCTGCTGGCCAACCGAAAAGGTGCGCACTCCCTGCAGGGCCAATTGCTTCGTCACTTGCTTCAGCATATTTGCAAGATTATTTAATACAAAATGTAAATGTTAAAACAATTAAACGAGAGCAGCTTTGCCAGCAAAATCCCACGGGCCAATGAAACAGATTTGCGAATCCATGTTGTTGTTGTTGCCAAGGTGGCGGGGGTGAACAGGGTTGCTATCGCTAAGAAGCTTTTAATTTGAACGAAAAGCTTTCATTTGGTAAGGTTTTTACCTGAAGGTTTTGGATTTGATTATATACCTTTTAATTGTTTAACATAAAATGGTTTCTGGTAAATGGTATGATTCTGTTAATTTTACCTATTTCTTATAATTCCCGAAAATACCGTTACACAGCATGATCTAAAAATTTGAATTTATCCCGACGCTATCGATATTTTTGTATAATAATCGAATTTTACTGCTAGCCTAGTCGCAGCGACTAGACATCTATCGTTCTTCGATAACAAGAAGGTTTATTTATTTTTGTTTTTCCCTATAAATATTATTTACTTCTGCAAAAGTTTTACTGCGGAATAAAATCAAAAGTTTATTATTATTAATCGTATATAATGTTTAGGTGATTGTTAAATAATCTCATTTTGTATCTGTGCCTATAACTAAATGAGAATCCGATGAGGTAAATCTCAATTGTTTATGTTTGATAATTAACTTGATTATAAGATTTACAGTTAGAGTAAAGAACCAAAAAAGTTTTAAATAACTAAGTATTGAGGGTAAGTTTCTACAAACTTAATAATTATATGCCTAATGAATTCTATTTTATACCTACATAGCCGTATCACAAAGATGTCATCCCTACGGTTAAGCCAAGAGCAGCGCGATCATTTGAGCCTGCTCCAAAGACCTGGCAGCGATGTGGTGGAGCTGTGCAAGTCCGCCTTTGATTACCTGTTAAATGGACCCAATCCCGACCGCTACGAAGCCCTGTCCAAGAAGTACTCGGACTCGGCAAGTGCAGAGACAGTACAGCAAACGGTTGAGGCGCTGATTTCACTGCTTATCAGTGTAACCACCCGGGTGGAAAGTAGTTCCGTCAACATGCAGGCTTTACTGCGCCAGACATTCCCTGATCTCAGTGATGAAGTGCTTGAGATCCTCGAGCAGTTTGTCACTAGCAAGCGAAACTTTGTGGAGGGGTCAATCAAGTCGGCCAACATCCGTGCTTATCGGTTGGTTAACTTAGATTGGCGTCTGGAAGTGCGCACCGCCTCTCGATCTCTGCTGGACCAGTGCCAAGTGTTTGTGACTATGAAGTTATACTTGCACACAGAACCGAAGAACGAAAACCGCGAGTTGCTGGCAGTAGACGTCTCCGGACGTAGCGAACAGGAGCTGCAGGCCATGCAGGAGGATGAGCGGTCTTCATCGGAAGGATATGATAGTGCAGACGGATGTCAGCAGTCTTTTATACATGATCAAAACGTTAGAAGATGCACTGGCCGAGTCCAAGACGAGGCGCATTCGCAACATTGTCGGTGGCACACACTGATACTACTCCAGAACTCGTACACTTGTTAACGCTAATTTAATCTGGACCAATTTATTACAACTAAAGCTAACTAGAAAAAGGATTGTGTTTATTGCGAGGCCGCCAGAGCTTCCGCGGCGGCGGCCTTTAGGGCAACCTTTTTGCGCTGGCGGTTCTCTTTCTTCTCCTCAGGTGTTTTGCGCAGAGCCTTGACGCGACGCGTTTGAATGGAGCCTGTCTGTTGTTTGCCCAGATGGACGCGTCCCTTGGTGTTGCCCAGAAGGTCCGTACTTATGTTCTTCTTCTTGCCCGCCTTCAGCTGTTTGGGCTGCTTGCGAGATTGCTTGTAAAGATCATCGCTGGCAATCTTGGTGCGACGTATGGCAAAGTCGGCAGAGGGTCCAATCTCTTCCAGTTCTATACGAGGCGTCGACTGGCCGGACTTCTTAAGAAGAATGCGGTAGGAACGCATCAGGATGTTCATGTCATCCGTCACCGTAAAGCTGAGAATGTGCTCGATTCCCTGGAGTCGAATAGAATCCACCTTCTCACGCTGGAAAGTGTCGATGAACAGGTTGCGAAGGCGTCTCAGTTCCTCGGTCTGCGCCCATTTGGGTCCATTGAACACCAGACAGGGCTTTACACAGGACCCAATCTTTTCGTTTTTGAACTCGGAAATTGCCTGATACCGCTTAATGCCTAGCTCAAACATATCCAGTACCTCGTTCTCAAAAATCCGGCCTAGGATGATGTTGTCAGGTCGCTTTTTCGATGTGGAACCAAACGTGAACAAGGCGGCATCGTTCTTCATGGTCAAGCTGGGAAAAAATAAATTTTTACAATGATTAGGCATCGTTTAAAAGAAGCCTTTTATACTTACAACTCTAGTGAGGAGGGATCGTCAAAAGGTGTTATGTCGTTCTTGCGGTTTAGGACCTTAACCAAAGGTTTCTTTAGCGCCTGCAGATCCTTCATACATAGCTTCACGTTGCCACCGCACTTCCGACCGTCCAAAAACAGCATTGTGCGTGCGGACTCAATTAGTTGCGGCTCCCTAGCCAACAGCACCTTCTTTCCCTTGCGGGTTTTGGGTTTCCTGAATATGCAATTGGTTGAGATTCATTGGTTATTATTAGATTGAGCTATTTTGTTTACCTGATTCGTAAAAGCGACATATTTAAGTACTTTCTTAATGAAAAACAAAGTCAAATAAACTAAAATTCAAGCATGCACGTGTAAGTGTTGCGGGAATAGAGATGTGAAAACTCCATGATGCTATCGATCAAATTGATTAGCCGGTTGTATCGATATTTTTTGTCTGATTAGAGGATTGGGAACAATTTAATTTCCTTTCTAGCCAATTAAAACTAATGTTTAATTCTGTAAAATATTAAAGAAATACCAGTGAATTATTTTGAAGAAATATTTTTTTTCGTATTATATTGCTTACTTAAAGATCTCAAAATGTCATCACTGACAGCAACAGTTGTCATTAACCCCGAAGAGTGATGCTATTCACACCGAGTAACAGTTACATGTTTGCCAGTACGTTTCTTCATTGGTTGTAAATAAAAACACAGGAAATGTTATAATTATGCTGCGCAACGGCCATAATCAAGCGCAACTGCTGGCCAGAAGCTTTGGGCAGTTGGCGCGGGGAATGACCAGTTCGAAAAGAACCACTGCTAGGCAGGAGATGCAGACACCGAAACTCCCAAAGCCTCCGACAATTGAGATGCCGTCGGAAGAGCCTCTAAATGCAAGCTATTTGGCAAAAAATCTGGGTAAGTTTCCAGTCGATAATTGATTTAAGGAGTAATTATAGTGTCTTTATAGGTAGTAACTATCGGACTTGGGTGGCTGCCTTGGAGAAACATCCGGAGCTAAAAACTTTGAAGCGAAAGGACCTACTAAACTCTTACGACACTTTAAAATCTTTGAACTACAGCGTGGAAGACATCATAGCCAAGCCCATGATTATCTACTATGGAGCCACCACGCTAGCCAATCGCCACAGTGTTCTGCAAGAGTGTGGTTTTCACAACGTTACTATCCAAACGCTGGCAAAGTATGTGACTGTGGTCAACAAGCCGATAGAAGTCCTTAAAGCTCATAGTTACATCCCCTTTGATGTAAGGGTGGCGGAGCGGCTGGCTGGATTTTTTACGAGCATAAACCTGCCGGTGGATTTGCGGGAGTTAGACAGCGAAACCCTCACGCTAAAAAGTCTTAGGCAATCCTTGCTAAACGCTTACCTACGCGAACGCCTTCAGATGGACGAAAGTGATCTACAGAAGCTGTGGCGCGTTTACTCCCGCATTCGCCATAAGAGCTTTCGGGCAGTACAAGATACTGTGGAACTTCTTACTACTGAGTTTAAGTTTCCCTGCCGAGCGACTTAGGAAGAATAGTTTTCTGCTCTATTCGGAAGCGGATAATGTAAGACGCATCCTTCGGGAGATACCCACCATCGACTCACAGAATATACGCGATATCGGCTTCCGACGGCCAAAGATTCTGATGTCCACCTGCGATAGTTTAAAACAAACACTGCAGCATGTTCACGCCTTTGGAATCAGTGAGGATGCTGTCCTGCGCTGCTTAGAGGTGCTCACCTTAGGGCCGGATACAGTGCTGGAGCGACTGAGGGATCTACACGAGATTGAAGAGTTTCAGGTTTTGGGCACCAACCCGCGAGTACTGAGACTGGTTCACTACCAAAATAAGGCACGACTACGTCTAGATTACCTAAATCAGCTGAGGGTTCGTTGTGCCTCCTTGCACATCCTTTCCTGCGGCTCGGAAGCTTTTGCAAAGTAAATATTATTATAATCCAAGAACCCTCCCTAAATTCCATTTATTACAGATTTGCCAGAGATGGTTCGGATCGTACCAAAGGTCGTGATATCGTGGTCTACTTGGGTAATGTTTTGTCCAAAGACGTACAAGTGCTGCGCAATCTACTTTCCCGCCATCCCAACTGGTGCCACATACCCTTGCTGCACGTTAAACAATGTCTGGAGTACCTACAAAGTAAGAAGTTTAAGTTGAATGAGATTTTTGCAAACATCCACTTGCTTCTGTATCCCATGTAAGTGATAAATAAATAATAATTGGAAATTAATTTTAAATCTTTCTTATCGCTATTCAGCAAACGTATAGAGGAAAAGATGCTTCTTTTACAATCACCAGATGCCCAAGAAGAACTTCAGTTGCCAGTGGCAAAGTTTGATTCTCTGAGCAACAACGAGATCCTGACTCTCATCCTCTACCTTATCGAATCAGAGTTCCACTTTACAGGCGACGGCATCTGGACGGAGCAACATTCACATCACGTGGAAAACTTTAACAACTTACTGCCCGACTTCCCCGAAAGCCTTAACAAGGTCTATAAATATGGTGTAAAACCTGCAGATAAGCTGGCCATGCAGCATTTATAGGCGCACGAAATATGTAAATAGTTTCTTATTAAAATTTGCAACAATAATGAAATCCCAACATAAGCATTAATTGGTATTTTTATATCATTACATGAACACTTTTATAAACACGTGTTTATTGCATTACTCTTAAAAACTAGAAACTGAATTTACTCCGATTCCAACTTTAGGGCGGCAAAATTCGTCTCTGTTTCTGTAATCAGCTCATCCTCGTTCACCTTCAAGGGAGCACATCGTGTCCAAAAGGCTAGGTCCTCGATGGCTGGCAGGGACTCCGTGGGAAATGTGTGCAGTGATAAGTCATTGAATACATTATGGTGCTCGTAATCGTCCTCCAGAGGTGTCTCTGTGCAATGTTCAACTATCCGTGTTATGTGATCATCTTGACTTCTCGGCGTCATTGTCAGCATCTCAAAACTGTTTGAAATGAGGAAAACATTGGGCAGTGTTTCTCTTTTCCAGTTACACCACAAGATGTTGTGCATCAGGGCGTATGGGCAATGTGGTAGATAGTAGAGCGTGGGCACCTTCGCCTCGTCTTTGCCAGCGCAGTCTTCGCTCATTACACGTCCGTCGAACAGGCGGATTAGTTCCTTCTCGCTTATCCCTGAAAACAGGATCAAAGTAAATAGCCTCCGTGATCTTGTGGTGCCGCTGCAGTCCAATCACGAAAGCGGCCTGATGAAGGGCATGGTAGGTGCGAGAAAATGGTCCCAGGCCAAGGCAGACAATTCGCTCCAGTGGTTTTTTTATGCCTTCAAGCTGCTGTTGTAATGTTTCCACGGCCATTATGAAATAATCACTTTGACACATCTCGGTGCACAAGTTCTCCAGACGTCTGCAAGTAAAGTTCTTGTAGGGTTAGTGCCTTCAGTACTCATCTCAAACTTACGGTTGAAATTTCTTCACATTCACATCCGGGCAGTCGATTAAATAATCGCTCTCGGATTTGTGGCGATCCCGTCGCCTCAGGCACTTTCGGGCCATCCATTTCTTCCGAGTAACCACCTGAAAATCCTCTCCAGAGTTCGACATTTCAAAAGGTAAATAAACACGTTTCTTCTTCTTTTCAATTCAGTGTGACCGTATTTACGGTTCTTGAGTTACATAGAGAACATTTGTAGACGAAAAATTGTTTATTGGTAATTAATATTTTCCACTACAATCTTCTACTATTTCGACAAATATTTCAAATCCTCACATTTTAATTTATTAAAAGAATATTATGAAATTAATACTTTTTGATTCGGTTTTGTGTTTTTCATGTTTCAGTGTACCAGCTGTTATTCTTCTTCTTCCTCCACCATCGAACTTTATTAAAGTATGTTTACTCGCTATGAACGATCCAAACAAAGCGATCAGCGTAAATTTATCTTCATTGCTTAGCCTGAAGGCGGAACTTTTGAGGAAACAGCATGAAGTCAGATTAGCAAAGGGCATCCAGTCATCGACCGCCGATTTCAAGCCCACCAAGAGCAGCAGCGTCAAGGAAAAGTCCAATGATCGGGGCTACAAAAAAGTTGGGAGCACCGACAATGGCGCAAAGGTGTACGAGGCGGAGGACCATGCTCAGTTGGAAAAGTCACGGCGCGTCCTTGAGGCCAAGAGCAAGTACTACGACAAAATGAGCCGTAACGGCGGCAGCCTTAATTCCGATGACAACTGCTTGGTTAATGTTCAACCGCAAGAAACAGGAGGCTGACGAGGAACAGCCAAGGTCGAGCAGTGAATCCCGTCGTCGGCTGAGCAGCGACAGTTCCAGCGATGACGACCGCGGCCACGGCGATGACGATGACGATGATGAAGTAGAGTACTTAGATTGCCTTGGTCGCACTAGGAAGTGTTCAAGGAAGGACCTAAAGGAGGCAAAAGAACGCGATCGACAACTAGCTGAGAGCATGCCGGAGCGCCTAGATCAGACCAAGGCGAACTGGATGATAGATACCAAAGGCAGCCTCCCTCAGAAAAGTTATCACAATAGCGACGATGACGATGACGGTGATTCCTGCATTGGACCACGGCCATCGGAAAGTGTCTTCAGCGATGCCCTGTCCACCATGACCAAGCACGACGAGCAGCGCATGAACTGGGAACGCAAGGAGCAAGAGAATATCGACAAACCCGATGTCCACTACCAGGATGTCTTCTTCGACGAGGCGCGCACTCATGGCGTTGGTTACTATGCCTTCTCAACGGACGAAGACGAACGCAGGAAGCAGCAGTTGGAATTGGAGAAAGCCCGCAAGGCCACAACAGCGGAGCAGACCCGGCGAGACGAGATACGTGCCAAGCGGGACAGGATGGTGGCCGACCGTGTTCTAGCGGCCAAAAATAGGATACGTGCTCGCAACGGCTTGCCACCCATCAGCAAGGAGCAGTATGAGCGCGAGGAGCAGCAGAAGAAGGACGAATCTGCTGCCGAAGCCGCAGAACGAGAGAGGGATGAGCTAGAAAAAAAGGCTGCGATTGCGAAAAAGAAAGCGAAAGAGGAGGCTGAACTTGAGGAATTACGCAAGGAACACGTTCGCGATTGGGATAGGGATAAACCTGGTGTTGCCAAGCGACGCGACTCAGATAACGAAGAAAAACCTGAGGAGTGGAAGTACAAGGCCGAACGTCTACCCATGTCCCAGGAGGAGTGGAACGAAAAGCAACGGGCCCAACGCCAGACAGAATTTGCTCCCATGCCAGAACCGGTTTCTCTCAAGCGCAGCAACTTTAGCAGCGTCCCACCGCCTCCGTCTTTGGTATTAAGCAATGACGAGGAGCCTGAGTTCCATAACTTCCACAGCACTAAGAAGGAAAAGAAGTTTCAGCGACGGAACTATAGCACGTACAACGAAGATGAAAACGTTGAGGAACCGAGTACTTCCGGTCGTGGTGCTGCCATACCTCCACCACCTGGATTGGATTGCACAATTCCACCGCCACCAGCGAAGCGTCCCAAATCCCAGGCCGATCTTGAGCGTTCCATCGAAGCAGGTCTAAAAGTTTCTGCGGGAAAACTGTGACAAGGGAGTGCTGGGCAACAAGGCCACCTGGACAGCCAAGGCTGACTACTAAGTTAATGCAACGCATACCCTTCATTTATAGTTTATTATTAGTGTAAAGAATACTTTAGAAAAACACAATACGCCTAGACAAGCTTTCTATTGTCTGTGTTCTTTGACCTACGTTCAACAAATGTATTGTTCATTTCAGCTACGGCTAGATCATAAAGTGCATTCTTACAATTCCTGTCAAATAAGGCCCTGTGCCCAATTCCATTTCGAAAAGATTAACGTAACAGAGATTCGGAGAATATTCCTCAAAGTGCAATTGGCTTTCGAAAACGGGTACCGTAAAACTAAATGCGAAACAAGTACCTTGAGTTTTAAATCTACACTATTTTGGCATCGGTTGTTTTGCTCATTCATAAACAAAGTAGATGATAAATTAATAATACGGTTAAGTGTTAACTTTGACTTCACGAAGTCCTGTCTGGGACGCAGGGCCAAGGAATTGGCTGCTATTATAGAAGTATAACATAAAGGTAGCGGTGGTACCCTAAACGTACAAAGTCTTGCTATTCTAATGGTAATATTTACTAAATTGGATATAACTAAGGGTTAAAGTGAGAATCAACTGGAGCATGCTATCTGAGCTGGTATATTATTGGTAATTGGTGTTTTGGGCAGACAGCAGGCGTTCCGTTTTGGCTGCAGTTTTGCCTAGAGCATATCCCGATCCACCATATCGATGACTATTTCGGACATTTTCTGGCGGCACAGATCGTTAGGTGGAAAGTTGAGCGTGGGCGCACCCTCGTCCTCATCTTGATCGTCGCTTCGTTTTAAGTACATATCCGGGGCATCTTCCGAGGAGCAAGTGCTAATAGGAAGGATGTCCATGGCTAGACCAAGAGCAAAGCGTCCGTAAGTTTTTAGTTCCTCGGCAAAACTAAACAGGAAAGTGTAAATAACTTTTATGTACGGATCTCTCAGTCGGAATCACATGCTTACAGATCTTGCAGCTTCTCCAAAGTGTCGCAGTGATCTGGCAAATTTGTGCACAGGATTTGCAACCATCGAAACAGCTCCTCCGTGTAGATCTTAAGCAGAGTCTGAAGCTTGGCATCCCGCATTTCCTTTGTGGTGCAGCAGTATAACAGATTGGCAATGTCCAAAGCGATAGAGCTGTGGCGTATCAGCTGGAAGTCGATCAGTGCTACCTCCAGTACCCGTTGCGAATCCTCTGGATCATAGTGGTACAGAAAGTTATTCACCCAACAGTCGCCGTGACAGATGGCTGATAGTGGCGACTCGGCGCTTGCCAACTGTACCATCCGGCCGAAGAAGGAGGAGCTCTCCGCAAAATTGCTAATGGCCAGTACATACTTTGAGTCCGCGGGCAGCACTTCTGACACCATCTGAATGGCGTTCTTGGTGAGGCGTTCATAATAGTTTCGATACCAACTCGTGTTGGCCGTGCAAAAGATTCCCTCGCTGATCACGCTGCACAGCTTGCTAAAATCCAGCGGATTCTCGAATTTGTATGCCAGGCTAAGGGCATGCAGCTGGGCCACTTGCAGCAGGACGGACTGTGTCTCTTCAAGACTAAGTCCTTTGTGGCGGTCGGACATTTGGAAGCCACGTTCGCGAAGGTCCTCTGCAAAAAATGTAAGATATTTTAATATATTTTAAAAGTCTTTTATGTTTTATACATATATATATATATATATATGTATTCAAAGTATATATGTTATTTACCCATAATAAGCAAATCTTGCCTGGCTGAATAGCACTTGGGAATGGCGTTGAACACGGGTGTGTCCTGGTCCGTTTTGCTGGCCTGAAACTTCAAAAGCTCTGGCATGATGGTGGTGTAGAACTCCACCTCGTTGCTGTCGGATGAGCAGGAAACCTAAATTAACTTTTATATTAAAAAAATTAAAACGAAAACCACTAACCGAAATAGCTTGTCGCTTTTGTAGGCCTCACGGGCGACCAGACTTTCCGGCAAAACCTTGCAGATAACGTTCTGTTCCCATTTGAGATTCCGTCGTTTCCCGGTGAGCTTTATGCGGTACAGGGCGGCCGTGTAGTTGTCACCGCGGTCGGAGCCCGGGGCCAGCTGAATATATTAATGGATGCAAATAATTTCATAACCGTTTAAAAACTTCCTACCTCAAAGGCATCAATCTGGACTTCCGGTTCCACGTGCTTGAAGATGTCCTGAAAAGCCTCTAGCGACAGAATTTGCTTGCTCTCCATAGCATTTGCCGCTCCCATTCCGGTTGTTGTTGTTGCTGATGTTTCCGTAATACCCATTTTACCAGGGGTCCCGGCTTTTGCAGGAAACGATTTACGCAATGTTCCGGGGATAATGTATGTTAACAAATGGCCGAACACGCTGCTCCTTTCAGGTTTCAATTTCTCCTTTAAAGTTTATTCATCGATTTTACGCGAACATGTGTTTCTTTTCGCCCTGCTATGTGCTTCTTCTTCTTCTTTCTTTGTCGTATCTTTTTTACACTTTTCGTCCTTTTCGTGCTTTCGGTTTTATTCGTGTTTTTTGTTCTCACGAGAGAATTATTCAAACTGGCCATCTCTAAAAGTCAGTATTTTCTTATTTATTAAAATAGTTAAATATAAATAAAGTTAAATTACTTATGTATATACAATGTACCAAAATGAATTACATTTTTTATAGGTTCTTAAGTTTATTGATACTTCCTTTCAGTTATCCTTTACGTTATCGCAGCCCTGGGCCGCGTAATAACAAACTACATTACGTTGCAATGAAATTACGTACGAAAATACGTATGCATACGTAGGAGAGCATTTAAATTAAACTAGATATTAAATTAAAAAATTAACTTACTGATTCTAAAAGAAATCCTTTGGAGGTCAATTGTGTCATTGCAAACTGGTCAAGAAAATTAAAGAAATTGGCTTTGTTGGCTGCTTGCTTATCGTCAGCAGTCCCTGGAAGCAATATTTTGCCAAGAAGGTTATGGAATTTTATCCGAGTGATGGATTGCCTTTAAATCTTACAAAATATTAACCAGCTTTCGGTCCGAATCTATTGTCATTGAAGAAAGTCTATCAAGATAAAAACCAAATGAAAAAAAAATAGAAGACTGAAGAAACAATTTGATCAGTAATCCTGGAATTTTTTTAATAAATCGTACTCAGTCTACAAAAAAGTAGTATTTTTTTTAATAATTAATTGGATATTTGGGAAATAGATTCCTACCTTCAGGTTTAGTTTCTAAAAATCCTTATTGGTTGAACCATGCAAAGAATTTCTACTAACTCTGTTGCAAGTGTCAATTCTCTTTTAAGTTAATTCTTAAATACCCAATATTTTCACTTTATAAAAGAAAAAACGCATTTAATTGGAAGACGGTACTTAGAGATGTTTGATTTATTTTTATTACAGTATGATTATTTTGTATATTTGTATATTTAAGTGGCTGCTTACAAAGTAGTCTTGAAAAATGAACATTTGATGTTATTAGTATTACAAGTGGCTAATGTTACTATTATGTATTTTGGGAAGTGCCGCTGCTGCTGTTAACATTCGAATTATCCTGGCTTATAAGCCGTGCTGGGCTTGGGCGTTTCGAACGCCATCACTATGCGAGTAGATTAAGATTTAGATCTGCCAACCAATTCTGGATCAGTCCATTAAAGCAATATAACTGAAATTTGGGCCAAGGCCAAATAAAACTCGGCCTAATTTGTCTTAAAAAATTACGAGAAGACTTTTTAATAAATATCCACTTTAAAGAGATAATACAGATTCACCCACCTGGCCATTTTATGGCTGATGCTGCTGATTCGTCACCAGTCCCATATCTTCTTGCACTTTCAAGGGCAGAGGAAGGGGCCTCTGTGGCCATGTGCGTCGCTGTAGCAGCATTTCCGCTCTGGCCAACTGTCGCTGCAATGCCTCGATAGTGGGATAAATATGCTGCTCTACAAACTCCGTCACCGTGTACTCATCGTACACCTCCCAAAGCAATTGTTGGGCCTCTCGTGCCATGGTCCTCAGCTCCTCAATCAACATTGGTGTCCTGGCAGTCAGTTCGCGAACCCTCAGGGGTGAACTGAAATTGTGTCGTACATTATAATCGGAAAGCCAGGCGCTCTGTTCGCGGGTCTGCTGCAAATAAAGTCCAATCTCGGCCAGCTTGTCAAACAGGCGCAGGGCATATTTAAAGACCATGTGACCAGGATAGTTGCAAACAGCGAAAAGCTGGCTGTGATGGGCATTCGGATGCAGTTCCAGCCAGGGACGACCCGATCGCCGGCTGTCCGGCTGGAAGACGCACTGAAGCACGCGCAGTAGTTCGTTATCTCGGGGATTAATGCTAAAGTAACCCTTGGAGACGGTGGACAGCGACGTCATCAGGCTGGGAATACCCACTGGCAAGAGTTCACAGAGCACGGCGAAATGATCGTAACGCTGCCATCCAGTTAGGGCCAGGCCCCTTAAACCCTTGGCGAACCGTCCGCCTTCTTTGGCAATGACCGCCAGCCAACGGATGTTATTCTCTAGATGATGCTGCAACGGTGGCACCAACAGGCTCTCGCCAAAGGCTCCCTTAAAAGCGGACGCCGTCCAGGCGCTGGGAAAGACCTTGGCGTAAGTATCCCACAGCTGTGGCTGAATGAATCGATAGATGTCACTGGCATACACCCAGACCATTGGCTCCACGTAGCTGCCCACCTGTGAGTGCTGCAGTTCGCTGAGAGACATCGATCTTAGCTGGTCGTCCCAGATGACCACACCTAGTTGCGGCCACTGCCGACGAATGAAATGCGCCAGACTGACGACATGCGAGAGGAAAAGCTCACTGCGCAGTCTTTGACGGCATGTGGAACATTCACCCATGCGCTGCACTTCATCGCAGCCAATGTGAATGTGGGTGAATCGGATCGGTGCTGTGGGTACGGCAGATGCAGGAGTCGCCTGACCTAAACACTGCAGATGCAATCTCGATCACTTGGGTGAGCATCTGCTCCAGCAGCGCCATGCTCTGTGGCTGGCTTGGGCAGATCGACTGCGGACTCTCCGCCAGTTCTCGCAGTTGCTCAAATCCAGACAATTTGAGGACGTATTCCATATGGCCGAAGGTTTGGACGAGTGGCATCACGCTCAGACCGTGAAGGGAAGCGCACTCTAGAAAATCCTGCAAAGGAAGAAGTATGGATTTTAAAGATTCTTTGACATCGTAAATAATGATACCATGACTCACCCTAAGTTCGTCTTCCTTGTAGGCATTGTGTGCCGCCAGTGGCTGGAGAACTCCGCTATAGGGAAACATATCCTCGTACTCGATAAGCAGACCCGTAGCCCCAAGGGCCTTTAAAACGGGAAGCAATTGTTTCAGAAAACTTAGCTTCGGTGGTGCTCCTTTAAGATCTAGATGCACTAGACGCTCCGCAGGGCCCCTCGGCCCATCCGGTCCAATCCCCGCCACCACCGGCACTCCCATCCGTTGAAGCTCGTGCTCATACTGCGTTTGCCTTTCCGCCGAACTGAGCATTCGCTCATCCTCGGCATTGGCATTCAGTTCCTCCATACCGGCGTTTCTTTGGCGTTGCTGTTGTTCCAGAATCTTGAAGCGTTCCTGCTCAAATAGATAAGTCTCGGACATGGGCAGTGGACCCTTCTTAACCTGCGTGGGCCGCAGAAATCGTACGTTGCCCAAACGTTGGACTGCCGATGAAGACTTCTCGACGGCGTTGTCCTTTAATCGCTCCGCTCTCAGCACCCGGTTGGCCTGGGCAATCAGCTTCTGGATAATATGAACCTGCTGGTAGCCGGTGGACTGCTGTTGCTGTTGTCCCTCAGAACTTGAGGAGCCGACGGCGGGTGGCTGTGTGGCGGCTGTCGTATCGATTAGTATGGCCCATGTCCAAAGACCGAGGAGCACTAGGCCAGACACAACGAGTAGGAAGGAAAGTTTTCGGCGCCAAATAAATATCCACAGATTTGAGTGCATCTGCAGTAGGAAAAATGTCATTTAAAAAGGATGTATTAATTAGAAATCGAATAAAAAAAGTTGGACCTTTTTAATACCTTTTAATAAAAATTAAATAACTAACTTATATATTTTTTTCAAAAAACATTTTTAGATAACACTTTTCCTCTCAGTGTAAGGCAGTAGAAAGTTGGCCACTGCAGTGCTGTATGGCAAAAACTTGCATCACTTTTCATAAATATTTGAAGATCCAACAAGTAGCCCCCGGAGTTATGCTATATAAATCCACCCACAACCGGCGACCCCAGTCGCACGTTACTCATACGCCACCGACAACGGGCAGAGCAGCAGCAGAAGCAGTAGCAAAAGCAGCTCATTGAGGTTGAGTTAAGGGCTGTTTCCATTGTTGTTCTTGCCTTTCTTGTGGGTCGTGGCTCTTGCCTTTGTGTTTGGCCAACTCCTGCGGCGTACAGGAACCCATAGGAACCCATAGTATCGAGTTAAATATACTATAACAGTGGCCAAAAAGCGGAATACATATATTATATCTATGATTTGTGGCAGTATTTCAGAGCAGCATCTTATTTCGCATCTGTTTCCTGTCTCAACTTGAAGTATAGCACTTTAATAAGGCTATCTACAAATCATTTTACATAACATTTATGTTCCCATTTAACAAAATTATTAACTAAACGAAGTATGACCACAATTTCCTCAACTATCAACCGTAATACCCATATTTACGACATCTTTAGAGCATTTTGAACAATATTTTTCCTTGGAGTACTTTTAGAGACTCCACCGTAAACCTGAAGGTTTCCAACTGTAGACCACAGCAACAGGAAAAGTGGTTTGCATCCTGGTTTTAATGGCTTGCCTGATAGTTTGCTGGCATACGTTTAAATAGGCACAACTGGCAGCTTATTTAAATGAGTCTCTGGCAGAGTCATAAAAGCAGCCAGCACCGGCATCACCATCTCGCACAGGTGTTGGATATATCGTACAAATAGGCTAGGATAAAAGTCGACCATGGATACGTGTCGTTATTCAGGGACCAGCAGGATGTGCTGGATGCAGCAGGATACGGCAGCCAGTAGATGCTAACAAAAACTGGCACGGTTCTTCGACAGGCGATAAATGCAAGTGCTCAAGTGGAAATGTGCAGCTGTCTGGCTGACGGAAATTGAATTGAGTTTTCACTGGGTTACCTACCCAGTGGGTGGCAAATGGCATATAACTGAGCGCCGTTTAGGCCACTTCTCACTCGGTTCGTGGTGGGTGGTTCGTGGTTAAGGGGTTCGCGCTGTTCGTGGTTCGTGACTGGCAGCAAAGACAAACGCTGAACAGTTTCAAGTCTTTGTGGACACTTGTTAGTCGGTTGAGTGGAATGGTTCAGTTGAATCAGCGGCATGACCACCTAAAAGGTGATTTAATGAGAGGTTTGCCAACTTTACTAATGAACAAAACAAATATTTACATTGCGCAAAAAAATACTATGAAGAGGGAAAGTGGAATTGCAAAATAGATTCAATATTTGCGGAACATTTTCATTTAGTTTTTAAAGCCACAATGTTTATACAGCACTTGAATTTATTTAATTTGCATATTATTTATTGAAAAACAAAGTCACTCTCTACTCTCTAAAATTTAACACACAATCACAAACCACACAGACTTGGTGACTTCAAGATCAATTCGTCATCAATATTGCAAATGGTAAATGGCCAATCGAAATCCAATTGCTGACCCATTTGGCTTAATCCAAATTTGCATTATTTCGCTCTCCTTTCCTCTTGACTTTCCATCGCTTGTTTTTGCCAAAAGTTCTACACTGGAAAACATTTTCCCTGGGGCACACCAAAAAACATAAAAAAAAAATGGGTTGCAAGTGTCGATGTTGAATGGAGAGGCCTAGAAATCGTATGAGTTTCTCTTTTGGCTATCTCTGTATGTTTTCCCAGCCACAACAACAACTTTGAATGGGTGCTCTCGTTTTTCAGACGCTTTGTTGGCTGAAGTTCTCTTCAAGGATGCAAAAATAGTGAAAACCAACTATGCAAACAGAGGCGCCCCAAAGGATGACTGCTGCGTGTGCGGTGATATGAGGCAGAAACAGAAAGGAACCTCCCATGCATTCGCATCTTCGTTCATCATTCGTTCACATCTTACACTCAAAAATAGATCTTTTCATCAATGTAATCGAGTAGAAATTTGTGCAGTAAGTAAGTAAGTAAAAAGTGTTTCTCCCAGTGATGCTTTCACTTTTTCCATGCTAACTAAAGATAGATCCTGACACGGTGGTCTCGACAGGACAATGGATCGGTGCTAATTGCATTCGGCTCGTCAGACAGAAATGAAAATAGTTTGGGGCAACTGTTATCGAAATTAAATGTAATTGCACCGCAAAACCGACAGGCCAATTTGCAGTCGCAATTCACAGCGTCCCTGGCCATTTCCTGCCCTGGCTGTGACCTCCACCTCTTAGTCCACATCCATTCCCACCACCCACTCATTGAATGGAGAGCGGTGCTAGAAATAGCAGCCATGTCCTGTGAAGTGTCCGCCTCCACCGCACAATTTGGCAGTTTGCCACAAAAATAAAAACGAAACTAAAGTGTTTTCGAAAAACAAACCCAAATAAAAAAAAAGAACAGAAAACAAACAGCCAAAAAATGAAACATGAAAAATCCTTAAAGCCGGCTCTGATGGACCTCAAAATGCACTCAGCCGCTGTTTATGAGGCCTAAAAAGGATACAAAAAGTGTATCTTTGGGAGGGAAATGCTTTTAACTTTTTTAAAATATTTTGGTGAAAATTTAACTCTGACAACTTAATAAACAACTTACTTAAGAACAGTATAAAAACCTTTCTGACCTTTTAAACATTTTCTTATTTAAATAAATATTTTACAAAATGCTGTTCCACATTTAATGACACCAAAGAGTTTACTCCACATAAAATATTACTTCAAAAAGCTTAAAATTTAAATCCTAGCTTCTTAAAATCTTTAAAACTTCAACCTGTAAGCTGGACAGTTTCTTCAGACCATTCTATGGTTCTACTTTGCTGCTCCTCCTCCGGCTTTCCCATTCAGTGGCTCTCGCATCGCTTATATTGCATTCCCTGCATTGCATTTTGAGCAGCAGAAAATTTGCCTGCGCCTGGAAAGAGGGGAGAGGCGAAAGCCAGAGCAAAGCTGCCTTAACTTGGCTTTAAGGATAAAGCTGCCGGTCAGGCCATAGCTCACTTTTGTGGCCCCCAAGAAGAAAATTTACATGGAGTAAAAAAACATTGCAAAGAAAACATATGACTAAGAGTTACACTAAATCATAATGCACTTTCCTGGCACTTTGGAAATTTTTAAAACAATAAATAAAAAGATACTTCAAGTGTTTAATTAAGATTAATAATGATAAATTCAAGTTAAATTCTTAAGAAATTTCCTTTATTTCTCTAAGTGAAAACGCGCTGAAAGGAGGCTGATGCTGAGTACTTGGGCTTGCAAAATATTGTGCTAGTTTCTCTCTCCGGTACCTTATCGGCCAGAGAGCCATAATCGGCAATTAGGCCATTTAACGCCTTATTAACGTCCATTAGCAGGCAGGCCACTAATGGACGATGATTCGTGAACAGGCCATATACCAACTACGCCATCTTTTCCCCTACTTTTTGGGGATGGAGAGCAGCCTGAAGATGCCATAAATAAATTCCACCAGCTGAAAGTGCAACAGCAATGGCCACTGGGGAAAGTTATAGGAAATGGTGTGGAGTAGGAAGCTAGCTGCTAGGCAGATGTACAGCCTCCTAAATTCCTCTATTTGATTGCAGGCGATTTTCCAGTTGAAATGTATTGAGGAAAATCAAGAGAAATGGCCAGGAACAAGGTAATAAATAGCCAGAAGAGGATCCCAAAATGTATATTCTGCAATCAAGTTTTGTTTATAAACTAGCACCGAGAAATGCAATGTCATAAAGCACTTTAATTCCGCCATAAGCCCTGCTATTTGGTTGCCAACAGAATGGCACGAAAATTGGCAATCAAATGTATGCAAATATATCCATCCCGTCCCGCATCCTTCCCCTCCACTCACCAATTCCCATAATTGGCAAAGCAAACAAACTGTGAATGAAAATGAGAACCAAAAAAACAAACAAAAAAATAGAAATGGAAACGAAACTTGTCGCCAGCTGTAATGAAAATATTCTGATGAACTATTTTTCCCCCTCTGCCATCACCCATTTTTCCACTGTCTAACAAAGTTGCCGTGCTAAAGCAAAAACTTTGCCAAGCTTCGAAAATTGTCTGCATTCCTGGTCCAGTCTTAATAAAAACGTTGTTACCTACTTCATAAGTAGATTATAACTGCAAAAGTTTAGAGCGGAAAAAAGACCAGCGCCGTGGAGGAGGAAAATTAAGGGGGAGTGGAAATTAGAACAGAGCGCCCATAACTATGCAACACTCAGTTTGTCCGCTCGAAAGCGCTAAGCAGCAAAAAGCAAAATAGCAAAAAGTGAAAGAAAAAACAGAAAGCAAAAGCAAAACTGTCACAGCAACAGCTGCAGCGCGAGCAAAAAACTAAATCCATAAAAAAGTGTCACAGTTTGAATGCCTCGACTATGTGACACCATAAAAGAAAAGTCTTGGAAGTTTTATTGGTCCCAAGAAAATCTAAAAAAAAAGTGACATATGTTACACAAAAAGAAAACTAACTGGCATATAAGATTATGCAGGGTATTTAAATTTTACATCCGAAATATTAAAAGATATATCAACTTTAAAAAGTATATAAGAATCTTCTTATTCTCTCTTATTTTATCTTTTAGTAGTTATTTCCCAGTTTATTTCTACAACCTAACCTGCCACCCAATATACCCACCGACTAATGGGCAATGAAGAAATCACGGCAAGGACACGTAGCTAGTGTCCCGCCTCAAAAGGGACCCTCAACGACGCCGTGTTTATAATTTGAAATGATTTTTTGCTGCTGCATTTTACTGCTAACAAAACGGGTGACATAGCA